GGTCGGTCTAAGTTGCTATAGATGTTGGTGCTAAAAATTTTAACCAAACATTAGCTTTGTCCCTAAGATAAAATGGAAACAACTTAAGTCTAACAATGTCATCTGAGACACCGTTATATCCACATAACTCTAAGAAACTAGTTATAAGGAGATTAGTGTCTTCTAAAGGTGAGCCTCCAAATTGATTATTTTGAACCATCAAAATAATAGCAGGTTAGAGTTCAAATGTGACAACTTAAATGGTAGAGTTATTGATATTTTTATGAATTTCATCTACCATGGTGTTGGCAAATTCCCGAAGTGGTCTAGGCATTATATTCTCTTCTTGAGGGTTTGTCGCTCTTCTAAATTCTTGTTAGTTTTTTAAGTTTTTAATTTTTTTGACACTTCTCTCTAATTCAAGATCGTAAGGCATAAGTTCACTCAGTCTAGTCCTATACCTACAAGCCTAGAACTGGCAAGTTAGAGACCATAAACCAGCAAGAAATATAATATACAAGCAATATTCACAGCAAATAAAGTAAAACAAGAGAAGATATAAAAAGTAAAATAAGAATAGCAAAATAAATATTTTTATATTTTCTAACACAAAAAATATCAAATTAGTTATAGAAGAAGTATCACACAATAATTTTTAAATCTATGGCCTAATGATTCAACTAAAATCTTTCTAAATTTAGAAATTTAGTGTCATTCCCCTACAATTATGCCAATAACTTGATATGATTAAAATGTTATAAAACATCAGTGATACACATAGGTATATGTGTCGATCAAGTATGGAACTGAGTTTCTGTATCGATCCCATGAAAAACAAGTGAACTTCAAAAGTTAGAAAAAGTTCAAGCATACTCATTTTAAAATCCGGTGATTTAAAAGTTTTTAATCCTATTTTTTGCAAAAAATAAATCATATAACAAGTTTTGAGGTTGAACAAATGAATGAAAGCCTCCCTTGAATTGGTCATATTCAAATTAAATCCATCTAAGTGATTATAAAGAACTTGACAATTATAACAACGGTTTTTCTTAGTCCTTCCCGATGTTCATAAAAAAAATTGAAGTTTCATATTACATTTAGTCCCCTAAACTTGCTGAAACCTCAGTGTATGTAATTTTTTCTACTTAAATGGGCCATTCTAATTGCACTATTTCTATTGTCTTAAAGTGGTGTAGTTAACCTAATTATTTCACTAGCTAGCCTGCTTTATAGCACTGGATCGTAACTCATTTTAACTTCCTAAGTGATCAGTTTATGAACAAATTAAACTCAAAATGTTAATTTATCGATCCTAAGGTCCAAATTACAGTCATAAAATAAAGAAGATTTTAATTTGCATATAATCTAATTCAGGGGAGAAAAAAATTTAATTCATATGCATAACAGATGAACGAAGCACAAATTTCTTTACAAATTCTAAGTAAGCAAAATATAAAATAATCTCCTTGATGTTATTTCCCAAATTACATGAACTTACAACCCAACCTTTGTTTTTCCACCCATTGGAGTATAATACTTGCACACTTATTCTCTCGAGTGAGAACTGGCCCTCTTTTATAGATCCCTCTGACGAAGAGTGATTGACCAAAATGATAGTTCTCTGGCAACAACCATAGGTATACGTATGCTTCCTGCATTGTCACTCCAAGGGTAGAGCGCTTCAAAGAAATTGTTGAAGGAAAATATTGATTTTCACTCTGAATTTTCTTCTTCTATTGCCAAAAATTGCCATGTTGACATAGAACAGTCATTACTCCTTAAGTAGGTTCAGGAATCCCAGAGTTCCTCTGTCTAGCGTCGAAGTCTTGCTCTCTCTGTGTCTGCATCGCTTTTGGATCCCTTAGGTGGCGCCTTGGCGCCACTAAGTCGAGTGCCTATGTGCCTGTGTGTGGCTCATTGCTGTTTGGGTTTGAACCGAGGAGTCCAATGGTTGAGAATAAGCCCTTTGGTAGATTACAAAAATGTTGGAGAGAGCCATGCATGCAAATCAAAAGATTTTATTCGCTGCAAATTAGGTTTTGATGCTCTTCCTTCTATGAACGCATTAATAAAAGTTTTTTTTTTTTCTTAGTTTATTTTTTTGCCTTTTTTTATTTTATCAACAAATACCTTAATACACCCAAATTGTTTCTATAAAGCGTGGGCGTGTATGGATTTTTTTCTATTTTTGTTTAAAAAAATCACAAAAAATATGTTTGTGTATTCCCTCTTTAGTTGTTGTGATTATTGAATGGATTCATCTTTACCTTTTAAAACGTTGAAAACAACTGAAACATGCTTTTAATGTTTTAAAACTTAATTTCTATCCCTTAGTGCCCCACTCATATATTATGCACAAAGCGCACACAAGTAACACATTACCCGGCCAAGCCTAATGCATCTAACCACTTGAGTACCAACCCAATAAGCAAGGTGGGGGGGGATTCGAACTCTGGACCAGAGAAACTTATAACGAACAAAGCCGATGCTCTACCAACTGATTAGGTGCCTTAGTGCCACTCTTTTGATAGGAATATAGTGTGCGAAGATTGGGAGATGCATAAGTGCCATTTCGTTTGCGTCAAGATGCTAGAAATAGGCTAAGTTTCAAATTTAGTTATTTTGCTTGTTTCATGGCTTGTAACTTACAATTAATATAACAAACACCCAAAAAAGTAAAAATATGATACAAATAAAAAATAAAAGAAAACATAATAAAATGTCACACAATTAAGACACATCGGTCTCTTCCCTCTATTGATGATGTGTTATTGGATCTCCAATATTTCTTCTTCCTTTATGGCTTTCCATACTTCTTGTGATTCAACCCTCATCTCTTTACTAATCTTATTTATTCATCTTTAATCTAACCTCTAAACCTCAATAAATTGGTTTTTGAGAAAAGAAGATTTACATACACACCACTCAACTTCTATGTACATTTAGCTTTAATATATATATATATATATATATACCATTCCTTTAATTATATGTATGTATGTGTGTGTGTCTATATATATATATATGAT